TAACTTTACTGCAACTTGCCCTTCCTACTGGATACTCAAATGGTCCTACTGTTTTCGGAGCTTTCTTGTTTGTTTGTTTGTTCTTTGTTTTTAAGATTTATCTATCTTAGAGAGAGAGTGTGAGGTGGGGAGGGGCAGAGGGAGAGGAAGAGAGAAACTTCGGCAGAAGGACCTCCAAATCAGTTATAAGTTAAGAAGGCAACATTATCACCATTTAGTGTCAGAGCAGAAGACTGAAACATTTTTTCCCTTCAGGGTGGTGTGGTTTAGATAAATACTAAAGGCTAGATAACTTAAGCTTTTGACCTACTGGTATTAATTTAAAACTTTATTAATATATTTTCGTGATAATTATGAAATGAATTTAGATTTGGTTCTCCTGCTTTTAAAGATTATATTAATAATAACTGTAAGAAATAATATATATGGCTTTTAATTTTGTGTGTATATGGAAAAAGGAAGGGTATTTTAAAAATCAGCTGTTGATAAAGAACAGATTGGTATCATTTGCCAACAAACAAGGCAAAGCATATGCACAAAATACTCAGGATTATTTGATAATAAATCATTTTAATGATTACACTCAAAATTATGAAATGAGGATAGCACTGATGTGGAAAATAACAAAGCCTCATGCTCATCATATCTGTTATCCATATGTGCATGGCTTTTAAAGGTTCCATTGTCATCACTTTAATGCAAGTGTTTCCTTTGTACTGCTCAATCCTAACAAAAAGCCAGCTGATCTGGTTGAGTTTATATAGATGTATTACTCAAAATTATTATGAATAGGCATTGCTTTAAGTGTTCTGCTTTTGAGGAGCAAAGAAAAAAAAAAGAGAGAGAGAGAAACCAAGAAACAGACTTAACTATAAAGAACAAACTGATGGTTACCAGAGGGGAGGTGAGTGGGAGATGGGTGAAATAGGTGATGGGGATTAAAGAGTACTCTTATTGTGGTAGGCACTGAATAATGTGTAGAATTGTTGAATCACTATATTGTACCCCTGAAACTAATAGAATGCTATATGTTAACTATACCAGAATAAAAATGAAACATTTGATAAAAAAAAAAACCAAAGAACAAAAAAACAACTTTTTTTTAAAGTGTTGTGCTTTTGGAAATGACTATTTCCTCCTTGAAACTCATCTTTTTTTGGTTTTCAACATAAATACTCAACAATAAAGGAACTATTAGGTCATTTATGGTATGTTCATGTAGCAAAATACCATGTAGCCATTGTATATAAAAATATGTGAAGAAGGAACTTAAAAATGGGGATCAAGAAATATCTGTATTAAATCTGTCTAAACCAGATAGAAGAACCTTTAAGAGAAATCAAGCCACTAGGGGTTGAAGGAGAGGAATTTGCATTAAGAGTTTAAGACTTAAGAGGGGGAACATTTCTAGTTCACAAGGTCTGGAACAGGGCTGTGGATTTAGTAATTAAATGTGTTGTCTACATGAATTTGAAAAGTCTCAAGGTAATGACAGGAGTTGTGATGAAGAGTTAGACCATTAGCTTGATGTCAGAATCTTTAGAGCATATTTGGAGCAAGTCAGGGAGAAGTGAGGAGGAGGGAGGAAGGAGGTAAGTAATCAGATAACTGCAGTATGACAATACTGAAAGGGATAGAGAGTCTTAAGTGTGGAAGGCTTGAGATTAAAAAGTAAGGTTCCTTGTTCTTTTGGTTTGTTGTTGTTGTTCTTTTTAAAGGAGTACTTCTTACTGGTATGAAATGGTTTGAAAGTATGCTTTGGAGTAGGAGAGAAAAGATAGTTTCTCCTATAAATGCTTACAAGAAAAACAGGAGAGATAAGGTTTGGACAGCTGGAAAAGAATGGTAAGACATTTGGAGGCAAGGGGAGTAATATGGACATGGAGGTAAAGAAATAAAATTAGTAATTTGATCAGCTTGAGCTTTAAAGGAATGGAGTGGTAAGAGATAATTGAGGGGAAAAATTGGGACCTGATTGTGGTAAGCTTTGAATATCACTTGACCTCTAAGAGGGTGGTTCTCATTTATCCCCAACCACCCTCCCATTGTAATTCACCTGATAGAAAGAAAAAAGAAAGAAACTCAAAATATGAAACATGCTTTCATCAGTGCTCATGGTCCAATCCCACTGAATAGCAGCCCTGTCCAAAAGATTCACATGGGTACTAACCATGCAGAAAATTATGTCTTTAAAAGGACTATATCCTCCAAAAAAAATTTCAGAAGCCTTATAAAAATTGAGGTGGGTGATGTGGCAAAGGCCATATAGCTAGCAAATGGTTGACTAAGTGTTCATGCCAGAAGTTCTTCCTGCTCTATTTGTTGTAAATGCAATATATCACTTCTGTTTATCCTTCTGTCTCTCTTTCTGTCCCCCTTTCCCCTCTCTTTCCCTTTCTTTGTTTATTCAACAAACATGCTTGATTTTCACTCCAGATTTTTAACCCTAGTAGACTTAGTATCTTATGATAAAATGGGAAATTAATAAATAGTAAGAAAATTTTAAGAATGTTGTCTGTTGAGAAATTACAATAGCTCGTCATTGTTGGAAATACTATTAATATTTAGTAGCTAGGATATTCTTTGCGTATCCAACTCCATGAAATTAAAAAACAAATTTTGAGGACAGAATTCTAGACAACAATATTAAGAACAAAGGCTTTTGTATGATTTATATTTTAACTATTCATATACCAAAAGAACAAATATTAATAAAACAAGTAGTATCCTTGCTCAGAATGGAAATCTGATGAAAGATGAAAGAAATCTTACAAAATTTTAAAAGTGTCTAAATGTGTCTTCATAGATAAGCTTATGAAAATGAACAATTCACATTCACAAATGATTTTTTTTAGTGTTTTGAAAATTGTGGTAAAATACACATAGCATAAAATTTACCATTTGTACCATTTTTAACTGTACTATATTATTCAGTGGCGTTAGGTACATTTACATTTTTATGCAACTATCACCACTACCCATCTCCAAAATTTCTCCTTCATCTCAGATGGAGACTCTACCCATTTAACAAAAGCTGCCCTGCTTCCTCTAGCCCCTGGTAACTGCTATTCCACCTTCTGTCTCTGTGAATTTGGCTATTTCAGGTACCTCTTAGAAGTGGGATCATGCAGTATTTTTCACATAAATATATTTTGTTACTTTCCAAAGCAAATAAATTTAATATCAGTGAGTGATTCACATGAGAATGATATACTGGAATCAAAGTGCTTTTCCACCTTTTAGCTATAAAAGTCAGAACCCATACACTTAAAACCTAGATCTCTCTTTTATCTGCCTCCAGAATAAAATTTAACCTCTTACATTTTGGAATTTTACTTATTGTTAAATTACATACTTTTAGCTACAAAATTTGTAAGAGCAGTGATAATCCCTTTTTATAATCATCAACTATATGCCAAGCACCTTAAAAATTTTGTCTCATTTTAATCTTCACCCCAGCTCTATGAAGTATGTACTGTTGCATTTTGTGAGCATGGAAGTCAAGACTGGCCAGCTTTAAGTAACTTGTTCAAAGCGACACAGTTGGTAAAAGCAACATCAGGACCTGAACTCATGTCTGTGGCTTGAAAGCTCACACATCATCAGTGCTGCTGACTGAACAGCACCATATTAAAGATAAGAAGCATTGCCTCTTTCTGAACCCAGACATTTTAGATATTTAATTTTTAGTATGTTTCTCCTGTATAAAATAATTTAATGGTTATATCTACATCAATCGGACTTGAAATATGGCATTAAAGTATTCATCTCAAACGCCAAGAATTATACCTCACTTGCTATGACGAAGAAAGAGAATTTAAAATGAAGTCACATCATTGTGTTCATTTGTAAATAACATATTGCAGCCAACTGTTTCTTAATTGCTCAAACTGTTGATAAATAATCCAGCCCTGCTGCTCTCCACAGACAATTTGCTTTGGATCAGACCAGGCAATTCAAACAATCCTAATTACAGTGAAACCCTTTTATATGAATTTCTGTTTGTTGCAGGGAAGAAAACCCCTATATAAAAGGTTAAGGCACTTATCTCTGATTTTTGCTTGAAACACAGCACCTAATACCCAAGCTTAAGTAATATTAGTCAAATGAATTTCGATTGAATAAAAATAAAGTAATATTTTGTATTAAAAATGTATATTTCATTGCTTTTATTTATTGTACTGTCATGAGTTATGTTAATTTTATGTTTTTAATTAAAAGATATAACAGATGTAGAGACTTCATTTAAAGCAATATTTGCCTTGAAATAAGCTATGTTGCTGAATGACTGTGTAGTGTAACAGAGATTTGTATATTAATAGACAAATGTATCTACACTAGAAAGAAACCAAGACCTTAGGAAGTCTTCACTATATCAGGGGATTTGCTGTAACATGATATCATTGTATTTATGATTTTATGGTGTTAAAATGAATATTAAATGAAACAAAATTCCAAAGGATTACTCAGGAGGCAGCTAAGTACATAACATTTTGTACAGATGGTTGGAAGGCACAATTTTGCTCCATCACTGCATCCATATCGTTGAAGGATTTCGACTGAAGACAGCATTTCTTTGAATTTTTCATTAAACCAGACGTCTTGAAATATGAATTCCTTTTATGTTTCTTTGAGTTTTGGCTAAAAGAACCCCAGTGAATAAATCATACAATACTACGTGTCACCAGCACTTGTGAATATTTCTGCTTTGTTATTCTATTCTCAGTAGAGCACCATTGATTATCAAACTCAGCGGAGAGCATTTTATGATCATATATCTCCATTAGCTCCTAGTTTGACTATCATAGATTTTTCTGGTTAAGCCTGCATTATGTATTAGGAAGCCTATCTCTTCAATACGAAGTTTGATTTCATTTTTCTAAGCCCAGAACTCTTATTATGTATTATGTATAAAGATTCTTATCTTTTATATGTAAAAATAGCCTGCACTGTCTTTGTGTAACTGAACTATATGCCATCTTTTTTTTCCTGATTCACAGTTCGCATCTTGTGCTATGAAGATGAATCTCTACAATGCAATGGCTGTCAGGGTAAATATTTCTTCACTTGTTAAACAAATGAAAAGTCAATTGTGCTCTGAATTCCCTTTTAATAAAATGAGCAAGCCAGAATAATGCAAATTTGATTGATATGCTAATGGTTAGAGAGAAAAGAGTACATAGTTAAAAAGTTAGTTATACTAGATAATCTTGGCAGTATTAAAAATTAGACTAAAATGTAAAACATGTAATTATCAGTGCTTATGTTTTAGAATGTTAAATATCTCTGAGCCATAACTAGAGAAAGACCGTAAATATTAATGAAGCAATGTATTAATTTCCATATGTCATATAGAATATTGTGATAAATAGATGAACATGGTTCTGGAATATAAGATGCCGGCCCAATACAAATCAATTAGAAATTATTCATATGATTTAGCAGTAATAAAGTCAGTTTCCACCTTAGAAGTTTTATTTCTATCCTCTCTCTATGTTCAATTTTATGTATTATTTTCCTAATGGAACGCTGAGCTTAGTGATTATGAGGCTGGTTTGGTTTCTGCACAGATTTTGGGAATGGGCACAACAAAAGTATTAGTCCTCTTGTCTCAGATAGTATGGTAATAGCTTAATTGTGGAGCTATTATAAATGGAGAAAATACTTTGGTGAATTTCCTAAATGTCCTTAGAACTTATGTTGCCTTATTATATTCTCTTTCATTAATCTATTAGTTCTTCAGCTAATAATAGAATTTATTTTGGGTGAAGCAGCGTAGTAAAATACCTTCTAAAAGTCCTGTGTGGAACTATGGCAGCTAAATTAACATTATTTTGATTATGTATACTGCTTTGGGAAGGGTGCTTTCCTCTGCAGGTATGGGTGTGTGCTGAGAGCCTATCCCAGGTACAGTCTCCACGTACGATCTATCTTTTCTTTTCCTTTTCCTTTTCCTTTTCTTCCTTCCTTCCTTCCTTCCTTCCTTCCTTCCTTCCTTCCTTCCTT